GAATTCTAATCGTAAAGGAACAGTATATTTCAGGAGAAAAATTGTTCTAAGGAAAAATATATATTATTTAGTACTTTTCTCTCTTACTGTGGTGTGAATTTACTGTTAGGGATCAATAAAATATATACCCTATTTCCCAACCAAATTCTGTATTATCCATTTTGCCATTTTCAGAATAAAAAATGCATTTTTAGGAAAATCATCTTCAGTGTTTTTATGCTGTTGTCATGCTCTAAGCCCTTGGAATTGTTTTTCTTAGAAATGTGAATTTGATTTTCCTTTCATTGCCAGGAGCATTTAAGTTTGTTCAGCTTTTAAAATAATGCCATTAAGTTGATGTGAGAACGTTGTTTCTCGTTCATCGCCTCTGCTCTTACTTCACAGAGACGGGCACAGCATGAGGAGAGGCTTGGCCGTGGGTCTGAGAGTCAGACGATGCAGCAGTGGTCCGTATGTGATCCCTTTGCCTTGGAGATGTGGCTCAGTGTGCGCTCCTGTCCCCTGAGCTGCACATGAGACAAGGAGGGCTCAGGGCCGGGCACAGGTAGCTCCCAGAGACCTTACATCAGCCCTAACGTCAGCCCCCATTGGGTGTGCCTGTGGCTCTTCAGGGCTCTGAACGCCCAGGGCACTGCTGTGGGCACTGTGAGGACCATGTCCAGCTTCAGGAGGATTGCCGTTTCATGATAAGTGAAGAGGTAATCAGGGGTCAATTTCTAAGCAAAATCGGAATCTCCAGGGTTACAACCCAATAACTCCTTAGTAAGGTATTTGATAAAATCAAACAGACCTGTTAGGAGCCTCCCTGGTGGATTGTTTGAAAGAGCAAAATGACTGGCCAATCCAGTTTGCATCGATTTGTGTGGTAGCTTTCACTTAAAAGGAATAAAAAAGGAGGGGCACCTTTTGATTAAAGCACTTGGCACTTGACTGCCTGTTTGGAAATTAGAACTGAGCTTTCTGTGTTTCAGTTGCAAAGGGAGGTGCCTCCGGAAGGACTGGCTCGCACGGCAGGCAGAGCGGGGAGGGTGGGTCTTCACCCATGACCTCTCCAGAGAGCGCTGGTGTCGTGATGCGATTAAGTGGGCTGTTGGCCCTTGAAGGAGTAGACGGTGCCTCGCTCGTCTTTCCATTTCCAGAGGTGAGGACAACGTATGAGCCAATGAATGCCCCACACCCAACAAATGTAGGACACACCCACTGAGAACCCATTCAACACCTAACACAAGGGAGACCACTCAGGGACACTAAGGAGTCCTGAATGGAAGGCTGTCCCAGCCTTACTGTCCTGAATGAGAGAAATATCCATTATGCACAACTGAAAAATCCTCCTGTTTTCTCATCTCTTCCACAAAACGACTACTTTTCCTTATCTTCTATTGGACAAAAAGTACAACTATTGGCCAAATCTTTTATATAATTTTAACTCATACTGCATTTTAGAACTGTTAGGTATATTTATTAAAAGAAGGGAATTGAATAGAGTTGTGGTTAGCATGTAGCTTGAAGAAAAACCAGAAATAGGATGTGGAACCAGAAGCCTGAGGAATCTGTATAGCGTTGGAAATAGTAATTCCTGACTCTGAATATGTTTTCATGTGAATGGTGGAGACGCTGTAAACAAAAATAGATTCTCTCTTTCATCATCAAGGTACATTTCTTAATTCACCAATTTCCTACACTAATGTAGATCTAAGTTGAGATCTGATTTCTATCTTCTTCCTGTTTTATCAGCCTTAAGCAATGCATGATCAAAGTAATTTAATGCAATTTTCTTTATGACAGTTTTTCTTTTTAAAAAATTTGAAAATTGGATAAAAAGGATGAAAAAACTCACTAACCAACATTTTTTTAAGAATTTTTTAAATCTGTAAGCATCTATTTAAAAGGTAAATCCAGAAGGAGGTGACATCAGCATCATGGCAGAGTGATCGCTTCCCTTAGACTTCCCCCCAAGATACAACAATAAGGATACTCATAAATCAACAGAGGACATTCACACAACTCAGTAGACGTCTGAGATTCTCACGCAGCCATATGCTTGAAGGTGGAGGTGCTGGCCCCCTAGGAGGAAGTGGAAGGAGGCAATGGGATCTCCTCTCCCTCCCTGGCAGCAACCCTGAGTGTGGGCCCGTGCGTGGCTCTGAGAAAAGAGGAGGCAGGAATGTCTCTCCGTGGGCACACCTTCTCTCTCCAAGTCCTCTCACAGCCCGTGGGAAAGCCCCACACAGAGGAGGCTAAGCTATGGTGGGGGTGTCTTCACTAAGCCAGCACCCCAAGAGAGCAGATGGCAAGAACACACCAGGGGTTGTGCAAGCAAAAGAAAGACAAAATAGTCCCATTTGCAACAATAAGGATAGACCTTAAGGGTATTATGTTAAGCAAAATAAGTGAGACAGAGAAAGACAAACACTGTATGATTGCACTCATATGTGGAAGATAAACTGATGCATGGACAAAGAGAACAGATTACTGATTACCGGGGGGAGGGGGTGGGAGGTGGGTGAAAGGGATAAAGGGCTCACATACATGGTGACTGACAAATAATAATGTACAACTGAAATTTCACAATGTTAGAAACTATTATGACCTCAATAAAATAAAAATAAATTTTAAAAAGAGATATATCTACAAATTAAAGGGCTCGCCTTTTTAGTGGTGATTCTTTCCGAAGAATTTGCTTGTCAACATTTTTGCATAAATGTTTTCAAGTTTTCTGAGTTAAAACTTAGAACCCTCATAGCTCCAGCATATAGTTTTACCGGATAGGAGAACCTAAACACAGCAGAAATTGTTTCCTTGATGTATTGTGGGTTAATAAGTCTGTAACTCAGGTGGAAAATTCATATCTATGTCTGAATAACAACAAAAGATTAACTCAGCCAAAAAGTTCAGCCAGTTCAGTAAAAACAAAAAGCAAAAAACAGCAATAACAGAAACATGGAGCTGGCTGGGGGCGTCCTGTAGCTGGAGTGACGATTTCTCAATGAGGTGACCAGATGTCTCTGTCAGCTAGGAGCCGATGACAGGACCTCAGTGAAGGGAGCTGACTTGAGCTGGATGCGCATTTCCCGGTTCGCTACCTTATACTTCATTGCATTTCCAATGGTTAGGATGTAAGAAAATGTCTGTCCAGACCTTTGTTCCTCCCAACCTTGTGAGGATGAAGCCATTGCTGAAATCTTTACTCTGAGAGAAGTTTGCTGAAAGAGGCATCCAGCTGACTCATCTGTCCTGAAGCTCTCGTGCGTCTGTTTCTGTGTGCACAATACGTCTTCAGGATTCCCTGTACAAACTGGTGCTCCAAATTGGGAAATGCGGCAAAGACTTTTGCCTCGTTTGCTCACTGCCTCACTCCCAGTTTAGAATGCTTGTTGGTTGGGGAAAAATATTCCTCTCATGGTTCAGAGAGCAATCGTTTGAACCCCTGGTCCCATCATGAGCTAAACCAGAGCTGATCTGAAAGGCTGAGCATGAGAAAACTGCTGATTCTGTTCTCGTTTCTTCTCAGTGTTGTTCTACCTGAGTAGCCTAAACATAAACAACGGGCAGATACAAGGGAAAGGGGGAGAAGAAAGTTAACAGGGAAGATGACAAATGGATTTGTTTTCTCCATTAGGCTTAAAAGTCTTCAAATGCTGTTTTCCTTCCCAAGGGGAGAAAAGAGTTCTACGCCCGACACAGGCATTTTTACACCCATCTGCATAAAAACTGTGCTAACATACAACGCTCAGCATATTCTTTGGGAATTTGAAATGGATGATGAAGACATGTTGCAGGGAACAGCTTATTTTGTCTTTTTGAATATCATTTATATTTTGCTGGAATATTTTGAAGCCATATATATTCATCTCACAATTGTTTAGGATTTTTTTCACCATCAAAAATTGTATGTCAGTGCACATGTTGGAATACGTGTGGGCCTGCGAACTTAAACTATCAGTTGACCTTTGAAATAAATGATACGAGAAAAGCCCCTGAGGCTGGATGCCAGACACGGAGTCATTTCTACTGCTGTGCAAACACTGCCCCAAACTCTCCTGTCTGAGTCGTGGACAGTAGTTTATGGTTAAATATCCTGCATATATTGGGTATTCATCAGTGCTTTTTAAATGAAAATAAATGTCCTCTAGGACAAAACTGAGTAACCTGGATTTCAGAAAGTCACACAACCTGGCTCTCAGTAAGTCCTGCCCAGGCTTTCAACACTTGGAGAGAAAAAAATAATAATTTAGTAGAGATACTGTGCACGGTACACGTGTAAAGTCAGTTAGATTTATGTTCTTCCTTCCTGCTATGGACTGAATGTTTGTGTCCTCCCCAAATTCCTGTATTGAGGCATAACCTCCAATGTGATCTGTTAGGATGTGGGAGGACCACGCAGTCATGAGGGTGGACCCCAGGAGTGAGATTAGTGTCCCTATCAAAGACCCCCAGAGAGCTCCTGCACCCCTTCTGCCCTGTGAGGACTCAGGGAGAAGACGGGGTGTATGAACCAGGAAGAGGGGCCTCACCAGACACCGGATCGTCAGCACCTTGACCTTGGACTTCCCTCCAGAACCGTGAGCCACGACCGTCTGAACCTATAAGGCCCCCGCACCCCATCTATGGGGTCCTGTTATAGCAGCCTGAGCGGACTGAGACACTCCCGTCCAGACTTCCAAATGTGCGCTCTGCTTTATCAAGACGGAGGAGATCGAGTGATGTGGGTATTGCCTTCGAGCTTTCAAACAAAAACACACAGAAAAGAAGACTATGATATAACCCAGTTTGTGGAAATCCTGCTGAGGTGGTCCAACCACTACACAGTCTGTGAGTTGTCATGGGCTATAAAACAAACCAGCTTCCTAAGTGCGCTGTGAGAGTCTGTAATTCCTGACGCGTGGCGGGGAGCTGTATTTTATACGAAGCACGTCATATCACCAATGATTGTTGACGTGGACCCAGTGCGTCGATGTCCTTCTGAGGCCTGGCGCCCAGAACGGGGTGCTGCAGCCCACATGCGAATTGCCCCGTGGGGGGCATCTTGCCACTGTCTCCTTTGTCCTCTCGTCGTCTTTCACCCCAGGCCCCCGAGACCACGTGAGCTTTCTCAGCAGCGGTGCTGTTGGCCATCGTGGCTCGTGAGCTGCACTAGAGTGCGGCCTTGGGCCTCCTCGTGGCTGAGGTCGCAGGACCCGCCACAGTGCGTGGACTCACTCAACATTTCACAGCTCTGTGGAATGAATGAAACCAATATCATGCTTTCACCTCAGACCTCCACATTTTCCTCACAAAAGCTACTGCTGAGTTTGCCTCGGGTCCCCTCGAATTTATAGACGGATTTTTTTTTTAACTTAAGTGCAGTACTGTCTTCTAAAGCATACACTGTGTTAGTTTTACCCCAGGGTTGCACACTGCTAAGAGCTGTACAAAATTTTTCTGTGCGTTTCATCCAATTGTCTCTCTCTTCTTGACTCCGCTGTGTTCTTGACGTGTGGCTCGGGCACCTTCAGTCCCCAACGGTAAACCTGCAGAGCCATGGCGTCGTCCAACCCCGTCACGGGCCGTGCTGGGAATGCCTCTCTGAGATGAAGTCCTGCGTCCAGAGCACTCTTATTTCGGCCAGGGGCTCGTCACAAACAGAGGAACGCCGCTCAGAGAGAAATCACGGTGGGTGTCAGCGACCACTGCATCTCTGTCTAACATGTTCACTAACTCGGGAGGAAAGGAGTTTCATGGACAAGTACAGCCCTGCAGACAGTGGGCACTGGGTCAAATGCAACATCCCACCTTTCCTACATCACTGAGGGCCTCCACCCACAGGTCTCACAGGAGCTCAGAGTGAGGCTGTGACGAGTGAGGCCAGAGGCACCAGTGTTCCCATTCCACATGCGAGGAAAAAATGATGGCCAATTCTCCACACAGCTTTCAATCTCGCTAGTTGTCAAGTCAGAATTGGGATGAGTTCTAAGTCCTAAACCATCGAGCTTCGGCTTTGACGTCCTATATGCACTAAGCAGCATGTGAAGGGCATGTTGGAAACCAGAGGGATGCATTGTGAACTAGCCACTGTCTGTTCTCCTGTCCCAACTCCGAAAAAAGGAAAATAGTGATAACAATAGCAATAATAATAAGAACTGGGTAGTCTGCCAGTCCTACACCTGGGTCAAAAGAATGTACCCTCCTTGTTGTGTGTCTGGGTGGATGACAATCAAACGGCCATCACAGAGGGCAGACAAGGAATTCACAGATGTGTGATCACTAGAGACCGTCCGTACATTAGAGGTTTTAAAACCAGTTCCCAGAAATTGCCCACGGGGACAGGAGAACCAACACAGCGCTCATGCTGTGTCTAGCGTTTCACAGACACTTGTGCAATATGCTGAGCTTCCTAAAGGCTGAGAACACAAACACTGCATCCTGCGTGGTATCCGTAATCCAAGGATTATAAGAGCTTAGCTGGTGGGACCACACGTCACACACAGAGACCTCAACCTCAGTCAGAGATTCGGAGAGACCTGTTTTTATTCTGAGGATAATTTTTTCCAAACTCTAAACTCAAATGCAGTTAGATTTTTTCCCTCTGAGGTCACTAAAAGTGAGACCATAAGATGAGAAAAATGAAGCCACGTGGACATTTCAAATCCTCCTGACGTCAGAAGGGCCCGCTGCCGTCTCAGCACTCTCGTCAGAACCGGAGCGTGCTCTGCCGTCCCGGGACGAGACCACGATTCTGGGCTGCGACTGAGTCTCACCTGATCTTCACCAAACAGAGGCGGTGCTTTGCTTGTCCCCTTCAGTCGGAGTTCAACCACTTACAGCCCAGGGTGCTCTGTAGGCGGCGTCTGCGGAGGAGGCACAGACCCAAGTATCAGACAGGGTGTGCGCCGCCCTGCACGGTAAAGGTGAGGAAATACCGTCGTTGCATTTCCTCGCCTTTTAGGATTTCGGGCATTTGCCAGTTTTCCTCCTACAAGACCTAATGAAACGTCGGGATGAATATTCATCCACCGGTGTCTCAAGGGGAATTATCCGCTCAAAACAATATTCTGCCAAATGCCTGCGTACAGATTCTAAATTAAATCAGGATCAATCACTTGGATTAAGACACCTTCCAAAATAATGTATTTTTCTCTTTTACTAACACTTCGTCAGTGACAAAGTTTTCTGTTTTTATGGTTCAAATGGGATATAAAATGTACAAAAATGAAACAAAGGGAGACCGGGCCCGTGTTTATGAGATAGCGGTTACTATTTTCCCAGAAGGGGGGCAAAGACAAAGCTGGCCATCCTCGTGGTCTGGTTCCACCGCCCCACGGCAGGGGTGTGACTTCTGGGAGTCAGTTTACTCGAACAGTCACGGAATGTGTGCAGGGCGACACCATGCCAGGACTCGCAGGAGGCCCGGTGCCTCGGCTCACGGCCAGCTCCGCAGACCGCAGCCTCAGAGGGTGGGCCGCCCGTCAGCCCCTTCCTCATCTGGACAGGGCAGGACTGTGCCTGCGCCCAGGTGGGTGTGTGCGCCCCCAGCACAGTCTCCAGCATGGTGAGTGTTCAGCACACGCACGGGAATCTGCAGGTGGTTCCCACCGACGTCTAATGAGCATACAGACTGAGAACATTGGAGGACTAACTGCGTATCCCAAATGAAAAGATAATTTCTGACTCAGGAATCACCCATCCCCGATGGAGAGGCTGGTGAGAGAAGCAGCCAATGCTCTCGACAAGGTCTGTTTTCAAAATGGGGCAATAATTGTCATTTTACCCCTCCCCCCCAGGTCTACACTGGAGGAGCAAGGCTGGTGCCCTGAGAAACGTGGCCTCACATGTTTGCAGCACCTCGACAGCGCTGTGCGGCGACGTGACAGGCGCAGCACTAACGTGAGGGGAGGGAGCTGTGGGCACTGGGCTGCCTGACTCATTTCTATCAGAAAAGGCTTCACTGTTTTTTAATTAAAAAAGTGTGCATTTTTCAAAAAATTGTGTATGTATACAAATATGAAAATAAATTTTAGTATCGACTTTTCCTGGGAAATATTATTCTTTTCATTATTATCCAGTAAAGGTACATTTTTAAAACTCTGCATTTTTTTCATGAAAACAACAAAGAAAGTCTTCGCAATTTCTTCACTCTTTAGTGTAGAACACCTTCTATTTTTGAGTGCATTTAGGCTCTTTGGCATAAGGGAAGAAAACGAGGATCCTCTGAATTTGTAGATCAAAATATCCATACAGGAGCGACACTGGAGAAAGCGAGATTTTCAGCTTCATCTTTTTCAGTTGGTTCATATTTCATAAAATTCTGACTCCTTTTGCTATTAATAGTAATAGGAATTTTCAGCTTAAACAAAAGGATAAACATCTGTACAGAATTGTCTGACACTGTGTACACCATTCTCTTAGAATTATTACTTAAAATTCACTGTAAATGCTCTGTTTGTGTTAAAGTCTTCCATGGAAGCCATTCAAATGTAGAAGGGAATGTTATATATAATATATAGCACATATATTACATATGGATAGATATCTTCTAAAAGGAAGCATATAATTCAAACACATAAAAAGCATCGATTATAAATATTTGACATGCCGTAAGTCAAAATGGTTCCTTCTTCCTAAACATCAGGTCCACAGGGGCGGGCGGGCGGCAGGGAACCAGGAATAGTCGCTGGGATCTCCCTGCCTCGTGGGCATCAGCCCGCCAGCATCGCACCTGTGCCTCCAACAGGCGCTGCTCGAGCATCCACCTCTTCTCTTAGGATTGTTCCCCGTACTTTACTTCACAGTCTGATGGTTTTATGTTCCTCCTGTACTTGCAACCTTGACAAACGAGTACCCGATCTTGACTTTTTCTGACTACAGTCTGTAGCCCTCAAAGAAAATTCAGGAGTCCATTAAATTGCTTTTAATAACAAAGATAGAAAGTGGATTTCTTAGAAGTAATAAACAATGTGAGAAACAAAGAAAGGAAAATAGAGCTATACTTTGTGAATTGGGAAAATAATTAAAATTAGCATTTAACTGACATATTATTTAATTACATAAAAATTAATTTATAAATATTTAATGTTAGAGTGAATGCCCTTTTCCCACATATTACTTCTGCTCATTTCTCCAATAATCCCTTTACTCAGCCTCCTCCTTGAGAAAAGGGGAACGCTAACAAGCCGGATCCAAAGGAAACACTTTCCTTCCCGAGGAGAATAAACTGGTGAGTTCTCAGTATTTTCTACTGTATATTTTATGAAAATAAAGTCTGGCTTTTACCACTGTGGGAAGCAGAGTGTGTGGTATTGGTGCCACTTTCACGTAATTTGGAGAACCGCCAGGGACACGATTATTTCCCGAGGAAACTGAGCGCGTTCCCCGGAGCTCTGCCAGGACAGAGGGCGCTTGGTCAGACGGAAGGAGTGCAACTCGGCTCTGGAAACTAGTGACCTATTTTATTGGTATCACAACTATAGGCTCATTATAAAACCCTACAAAGTTGCAATTTGTGCAGGAAAGATTCGTTTCTTAAGAAAATAATTTAATTTTCAGCACTCCACAGAAGCACAGTTCAGTTGCTGCACATGTATTTTCGTGCGACACTCTGACTGTCTACAAAGGCGGGGTCCACGGAGGCCACCTTCGCTGCTATGAAGGAGTGTACGCAGTGCAAGACAGCCGTCAGATCCTGAAATTCGAGTTCCTGTAGGAAATATGAAATGTGTGTATTAGAAATATTAGAGAAACACATTACAAAAAATATTTTATAAGTTCTCTACTTTGTAAACTCCAAGAAAGGTAAACCTAGATTGAATTTCTTATTTTCTGGAAACTAACATAGGTTAACACTCCTTTCCTTTATCTGTCATCTTAACCTGACCTGTGCCGGGTCTGAAGTCTCCTCATCAACAGTGCACGGTCTCAGTCCTCATGAAAGCCTGGCTGGGTCAGTGCTCACGGCGATGCTGTGACACGGATCTCAGCACAGCACAGCTCACAGGGTTCACAATTCAGTGGAACTAATCATTGTGCTTCAGCCCTGTGTGTGTGCAAGTGTGCACGTGCATGTGTGTGCCTGTGTACACCTGTGTGCCTGTGCCTATGTGTGCCTGTATGTTTATGCACATGTGTGTGCCTTGCATGTGCATGCACGCTTGCATGTGCATTGTGTGTGTGCACATATGTGCATGCATGTTCACCTCACAACAAAGACCATCCTTGACAGGAACAGCCAACAGCTGTGTGGTGCTGATGAGCAGAGTGCGTGGGGTATGGGGACATAGGAGCGACTTCTGTTCCTCCCCAGCCTGTTGCCATGCCAACGGGAGAAATAAGAAGTGATGCTCATGGAGGCAAGTGGTGCCCCCGTCAGGAAAGAAGAAAATAAAAAATACTCAAAATCCTGGATCCCTCCTTCCCCATTTTAAAGATCTCAAATGCTATTTAGAAGCAAAGGTGAGCCACAAACTGATACCGTTTCTGTTCCTGCAAACCCCCCACGTAAGTTCCCACCCCAACTAGCAAGGCAGGATGGACCCAGAGCTGAACCAGAGTGAAACCAACGGCTTCAAGGTTACGCTTTGAAAGTTACCCTTCCCGCCACCCATCTGGGCTTCTCTGAGCTCTTTGTGACCCAAGATTTGATGCCTCAAAAATGACTTCAAAGTTCCTTTAAATGCGAAGTCCCCCTCGGTCCCTCTCTCGGTCTGCTGTGCGTGCCTTCCTTCTGGAAGCTGCTCCTGTCCTGGGATGGGCATAGGATGCAGGTAGGCTGCCAGAGCCCCGCGGGAGGTCGACATGGACGACAGGAGAGGAAGGCCAGGGTTTCCACTTCAATGTGGCTGGGTGGGGAGTACACACCCGAAGCTTGCCACCAGTGAAGAGAGAGGGCCTGCGGGAGGGTGAGTTCAGCACAGAGGGACTCCCGGCTGAGAGAGGGACAGAGCGCCTCGGGTGACGCTGGGTCGCAGTGCTGGAGGTGCCTGGATGGCCCAGTTACAGGAACCCCAGGAGCCCCCTTTTCTTCATTCTACTTTGAATTAAATCTCTCCTTTGCACGTGAACCATCTTAACTTTGACAGCTACACAATTGGTTATTGTTGACTGATTGTTTATTTTGACTTTTTTTGAGTGATGTTGACCAAAATGCTCAACCTCCTGCAAAAGCTTCATGATATTTAAGTAGTTTCCTGGAGAACCACCGCCTCACTTGTTACTCACACCCTCACCCCCGTCACTGCAGAATCCAGAAGCTGCCCAGTGCCTGTACCGAACTCTAATTCAAGCTGGACCCACTAGTTAGACCCACACCCTGAGACTGTACCAGAATCTTTGATTCATCGTGATTTATCCCTGGAAGAGAGGAGAACAAAGTAACTTTCTGGAAGAAACACAAGATTCTCACAAATTTCACACACACTTAATTCAATTTATGTATGCATTTCCAAGTACTCAGTAATTACTGAGCTTCTGAAAAAAGGGCTATAATGTCCACATCTTTTATGCTTCAGGGTCTTGGCTTTACCTATGCAAATTGGAAATTGCTTTTCAAACTCCCAAAAAACTTATAGCACAACACTGTAACAAGGAGCCAATCGCCACCAGCATTATGCAGAGATCCAGATGCGACAGTGATGACAATTGGGGTCTCAGACCTTGAAGCCACACTGCAAAATTTCTGCCAGTGCTAGCAGGACACAGTGAAACCACACCATGAAATTCCACGTCAGATCTCGGTCAACGGTGCTGAAATCCAGGAATGAATTAAAGATGCAGTTCTATCTTTTTCAGGACACTGAATAAGCAGGCACCCGGTGAACGTTTCACAGAACAGCCTTGATTCAGCCAGAGATCAAGCCATGCTATGTCTGGTCTGGCTGATTTTCTAACCAAATATTACCAGCAAGGCTGACCTGAATCACAACTTTGCAACCAGAGCTGGGCAAAAACAGATCTGACAACATTCTGTTGGAACTGAATGTTCACACTGAATTCTAAGACTCCGCATATCCATCACTCCCTATTGTGCTCCTCAAGCCCTTGTGCGCACGTCTGTCACAGGTTGTCACCCTTGGACTCTGGAGAAGGACAGGACTGCGGGCTCCTTGGGCGTGCAACAGAACAGTGAACAGATGGCGACGGAGAACCCACCACGTTGGATTAGGAAGGCATATTGGAATGTGATGGTGTCAGCAGAGCAGCACTTCCCAAAATTTGTCTGATAGTAATAAATGTTATATTAGAAAAAAGAGTTTTGGGGGCCAGTCCCACGGTTGAGTGCTTAGAGTTCTGTGTGCTCTGCTTCAGTAGCCTGGGGTTTGCAGCTTCAGATCCTGGTTGCAGACCTACTCTGCTCAACAGCCATGCTGTGGAGGCATCCCATACACAAAGAGGATAAGCACAGATGTTAGCTCAGGGCAAATCTTCCTCACAAAAAAATGAGTAAGTGAGCAAATAAAATTTTTTTAAAAAAGGATGTTGATGCAAATAGTCCATAACCAATCTATAGATCAAAACTGGGGTGAGTTTATTATGAGCCAGGTCTGAGGACCATATAGCCCAGGAGAGTCCTTTCCCAGAGGAAGGAGCACTCTAAGGAAGTGGGGTGTACACGGTGGTTATATACCGTCAGAGAGCACATATCACATGTGATTGGAATGCCCCTTTTACAATAGTCACGACATTGCTTTGCCGGCACAGCACTTTGGTGCACACAGCAGGTCGGTGGTCTCAAAGTGGGTGGTCACAAGGTGAGTGCAGCAGGTCAACAATCAATCCTTAATTTAGGGAGAGATGCTAATCTTTAATGAAATGCTGACATGGGGGAAGTGACATCCTTATCCTTAAGGGCACTGTTCTGATCTTTGGGACACAGTAAATACTTAAAGCAGATGTACAGTGCATGCTCAACGGCTGTGTCAGGCCCTTTGGAAAAACGAGTTCAGGCCGAATTAGTTTTACACCAAATGGCTTCCTCATTTACTCAATATCTTATGGCTTCCTCATATGCTCCAGTATACCCTATTGCTTATCATTTGTTTATTATTTGTTCAAATGGGTTTGGAGAGAAAGTAGATTAAAGGAAGACAAATAGTGTTCGTTACTGCAGGATCCACAGAGCCCTTACAAAGTTAATCATATCGTCTTTCTCCGCGAGCGACACTACATGCTTTGGTTCTCAGACTTATCTGACCTTCTAAAGACAGGGCGTCAGGAAGGGATTCTTGGGAACCGCTGCAGCAGAGCTGCAAGAACCTCGAGCTACGCACTTCACAGGACAGACCGTTGTGGTGAAACTTTCTTCATTCCTGGTGGAGAGCGAGGAGCATTCCTGATGCCACCACAAAATCACACGCTGTTAGGACAAGAAATTACACAGCGCCTACTCAAAGCTCGATGCTGGTCCCCAAGGCAGGATAAGGATGCTGAGCGGTCCACCGTCTGAGGCTCAGTGGGAAAATCCAGAAAGGAGCCAGCCCTGGACGGAAGGACTCAGTTTCCCCGCGCAGGACAAGTTTAAGGAATGACAGGTCAGAGTAGACAGAATGGAGACAGTGCTGGGGGGCACTGGCTTAGAATGTGTCCCTAGGGCCAGCCTTCGGGTGACCTTGATCTCCAAAGGGACCAACTCTGAAGGGACAGACGGGCTTGGGACATTCACGGCAGACAAGAGGGCTGACGGAACTGTTCTGCACAGCCAGTTCCCACAGGCCATGGGCACCTCTGTTCTCTTTATTTTAGAGGATCTTTCTTAGGAGATATTAAAACCCAATCACACATTCTTCCCCTGCAAGAAGGGGTCCCTCATCTGCGCATGGCGCTGTGTCTGGTGGGGTCAATGGCACAGCCTGTGCTTGCTTCTTCTGTTTGTGGAGAGGAGGCAAGAAAAGCTCCTAGGGACAGATTTTTTTATTCAAGTAAAGGGAAAATCCAATAGACTGACGTCTCTTAGTTATGCAAATATAAAGCATTTAAATAGATAAGGCAAGAAACCTCCCTCCCTTTGCAGCTTGTTCCTCCCACACAGACCCTGAGGGCCTTCTGGAAATAAAAGGATGGAGCCAGAACTCACTTATCCTCCCTCCACCCCTGTGGTGCCCTGACTCCCTCTGGTGGGACTGACACACCGGGGAATTCTACGGAAGAACAGGCTGGGCAGGTGGCCCAGGGTCCAGGCTCTACGCAAGGTCCTGAGAGTTTGAGGGGGAGGGACGTTTCCAACCAGAATGTGGCTGCAGTTGGGAGCTCCTGGGAACCAGCCTTCTTGGCACGGCCAGGTGCCTGGCACAGCGACAAATCCTCTAGAAGCCAGGAAAGAGGAGATAGTTGATTGTCCCCTGGAGCCTCCAGAAGGCGTGCAGCCCTGACAACACGTGACTTCAGTCCAGTGACGCAGGAGCCTAGAGAACTTCAGATGCAAGTACGTCTGCAAGCCACTCAATGTGCAGTGGCTGATTACAGCAGTGATGGAGAGCAACACAGGCGACTTCCTTGATGACTAACGCACTTTTTCTGTGGGGACAGGAGCGATAGCATATCTTCTGTGCTCACAAATGTGAAGGAGAGAAGATAAATGACCCACGTTGGTTGAAAGGATTGAGGTTTTTGTTTTTTTTTTTAAATAACATTGCTAAACAGAAAAAAGACATGGAAAAACTAAAACTCAATACCCACTCATGATAAAAAAAAGAACCACTCAACCAA